GATTCCACTCAAAGGGATCCTAGAGGACAGGGTAGAACTGCCCGTCCCTGTGGGTTTCTGAGATTGCAACTCTTTTGGGGAGTAGAAAGCCAAGTCTTTATCCCAAAGAGCAGCTGGTGGTTTTGAACTGCTGACCTGGCTAGACAGTAGCACTATATGCAACTACATACGTAATCTCAAGCAAGATTTCTAGAATTACTTCCATGAAGAGTTATAGAAACATCTGAGCTGTGCCCTGGGATGGAGTTCAGAATCAGGAATGTTGTTGTTGGGGGGGAATCAGGTGATGTAGAAAAAGGAGGTCTTGTGAGAGGAGAAAGACCTTGTGAGACAGGGGAAAGAAGTGATTCTTCCATGTGAAAGAGTCACTGAGCCAAGGTAGAAAAAGAAAAATGGCAAAATTCTGATCATTTGATATTCAAACATGAGATATTGATGATGGCTTCCTTATAGCTAAAAATGTGTTATAGTTAAGAGGAAAATATGGATGGGGTTTAGTGTCTCAACAGATGAGGCTTTTAAGATCTTTTTTTTTCTTCTTACAATAATGTTATGGTTAGTAAGGGGAGAGGTACATGGATTGAATATATGGAATTTACCTAAGAATATGAGATGTGTAGGAGCCCTGGACAATTTAAAGTCATTGGTCACAAAATCCCTTTTGACAGCTTCATTTAATTGAGCCTGCAAATTCTTAAAGTATGGCTTCTAGGCTGATACCGTTGAAAGAGTGTTTCTCATTGTGTCAGTGCAAACCTGTGCTCCAATTATTTCAGGGGGGAAAACTGTCTACCTTTAGCTAAGCGGAAGTCAGAAAAATATGCCGTTATTATCTAAGTTTAAAAAAGCATTGCATGTTTACAAGGACAAGTTATTAAATGCTCAGAAATAGCAAGTTTGACAATGTAGAACTGGGTTTGATTTGCAAGGGGCCAAAATTGGAGCTGCTGCTCTGCAGGCATTGTTATTTGTTTCATAAAACTGCAGCTAAAAAAAACCAAAACTGCAGCTAGCCCACTGTTGATAACTTTTAACATTGAGTTTTAAAGACATCAACATGCAAAAATTCATAGCCTGCATAAATGATAGAATAAAGTAAGTACACTGTAGCAGGAAATTTAGTGTGATTTAAATTAAAAGCTGTTTAGAAGCAAATTACTGTCCAATGTAAACTAAAGTTGCTTTTTAATTGGAGTTTTGCCACACAAAAAGTAAGTTTAAGCCATCAACTTATGCAAGGTTTTACTTCGTCACCAGCAGTCTGTTCAATTAAGTTTTAAAAACAAAAAGAAATGAAATATGCTTGGATTGCTTTAAATTTTTGACTCACTGACATTTTACATTTGTGGAGCAACATGATCTCCAAAGCATGCAAACTTAAGTGTCATATTTTAGGCAATTCTGCAATTAGCATATGTCATTGCAATACTCTAGATTTTCAAAACTAAGTTATCAGTAAATTAGATATTTAGAATTACATGTTTCTGACCTCATTAAGCATTCCATAGTTCGTTTTTCTCAAGAGACAGCTGTGCAAACATACCATTCACTCACTCGCTACTATTGTATAATAGGCCTGGTAATAAAGGGAAGCTAATTATGTAAGAGAAAATATACCTGGCTTATCTGTTGGTCTTTTCTAGTTCAGCTGAACTTTAACCTTCTAAAAATATATCATGTATATTATTCTAGATTATTTTGTCTTAAGTCTATCATTTAAGGCATACCAATTAAAGCATGAGTCTTGCAAAATCCTACGTAAAGACAATGACATTTGGAGAAAAGGCAGCTTTCACCGGGAGTTGCACACTATGTTGCTAGTCTAATCCTGGGAGGGAAGCGGGCGTGGGGGTTAGGGTCTCAATAATCAAGGCACAGTCGAATGCCCATTTTCGAACCATTTGGTTCTACTATAAGAAGTTCACAGACTATTACTATAGTAATAGGTATTATTTCAAATCTGTCTCCGAAGCTAGTACGTAGTTTAGGGTCTTAAAATTGGCACGCCACTTTTACTTGCATTAACTTATCACATTAAAAAAAATATGTAAGCATAAATTAACATTATTCCATGAGGAAATGGTCTGTGTTGTGGAATCCGGTTCAAATTCCAAACTTTGCTTTATATTAAATGTAAAGCTTGCTAACTTGCTAGCGTCCCAAATTGAGAGTCACTCAGATTAAGTCATATTCATGTTCTTTTAAGTGTCATTGCTTTCCTCTGATTTGCATGATTGAGGTGAACTTGACTGAAGACAGTGAGTCTTTGGACAGTCAGCGTATGAGCAGATGTGCCAACACAGTTTGATAGAATAAGAAAAAACATGGGAAACTTCTCAACAGAAGGAGGTAGGCGGATAATGAGTTCTATATTTAAATTAACATATCAAAATGACATGTTTCAGTAATGCTATTGAGCTACTTTAATTGGTAACTGAATGAACTTGACATCTAATATATGTGATTCAAACAATATTTCTCTGGTCTGTACAGACACAGCACCTTTTTTCCTAAAGATCTTGATGTCAACTATCCTTCCTTTAGTTGTTTTTGTTTGTTTGTTTGTTCGTTTGTTTTTTAAAGAATCAGATATGTTGTCAGGGACAGCACCGTTTCCAATTAATTTATGGGCATTGTACAATCACTTCCATGGTTTTGGCTGCTATGATTAATAAGAGCCACGTGTTCAGCAAAGATGTAATCAAATGATTATGGGCCATCACACCTCTTGGTGCCACGCTGGTTCTGCTATTGCAACTTCTGATTGCCACTTGCAGATAGACACCTGATGACTGATATATACACACATATGTATTTTTTTCATACTGACATATTGATGGCTTTCCTTTCTGGGCTTCGTTCATCCCCCCCTCCAAGTCTTTCATGATCATGCTAAAGCACTGCCCCCAGGGGGACATTTGACACTTGATTGATCATTCAGTTCCTGAATGTGAACTGCACTAAACAAATGACCTGAACTCATAGGAGGAGGCTTC